TATATATTTGGGGCTCTGACCTGCCCGCTACATTTGTGTGCCCTGACGTATCCACTACACCAGTGTTTCTCAACGGGGGCGATATCGCCCCCATGTGGGCGTTTTTCCATGTTGAGGGGCGATTAGTAATAATTTATATTTTGGGGGGGCGAAAAACAATTTTCTGGGCGATATAGTAAAACATTATATTAAGAATAATTAGATATTTTATTCGTTATATCGTATAATGATTAAACAAATAACATTATACTAGTCACTAGTGTGAGAGTCGAGTTTAGTGAATAAATTCGTTAAATAAAATTTTTGTTAAGGGAGGAAAAGAAAAAAATCTAACTTCAAACTGCTATAAAAAAAAGACATAAAAATCTTTTCCCACGAACTTAGTTCCTTGTCAAGTATGATACATCGAATGTGTCACCCGAAATCTCGAAAACGACTATTGGTCAGAGAAGAAAGAACAGTCCTAATAAGGCAGTGGAAAAAACCCAAAGAGACCCCCTTTATAAAAAGGAGGGGTCGAGACGGAAGAGTCAGTCTCTGGAAATTAGTGCGCACTGTGCATCATAACAGAAAAACGGATAAGTCGCTACCAGGAACTCGCTGTTCGAAGGGACTACGCCGACAACGTTCGAAGGAACTTTGTGATACTAAAAACCCGGTTCAACGTTCGAAGGAACTTTGTGAAGACCCATTAACGAGTCAACCCAGGACTAATCAACGATTGAACTTAAGGTATTTATCCTCGCGCGAAATATATGTGAGCTCTCTCTCAGAAATACGGGTAACCGGTAAAAAGTTGATATGCTAATTAACCGATTGTAGATAGCTATTGCGATTGTAAAAAAAATGAACAATAAACGGGCATTATGTATAGAGAATGCATAGTGTGATTCCTCTGGTTCTCTCGGTACGCCTCCATCCCGGAACTAAAAGTCCACAACGCGACCGTTCGCGTAAATAAACGGCCAATAACCCTTTTTCTGTGTCTGTTAGAAGACACAGTGGTGTCATCCTGACAGGGCGCCAAAGAGGTGCCGACCCTCGGTCACACTAGTCTATTCAATGCAGTACGAATTTGGCGTTAGCCGTGGCCCTGGGCATCGGAATTTTGAAGTGAAGGGGGCGACGATTTGTTAGAGGTTGAGAAACACTGCACTACACCAATACTTTTTCACAGTCAGGTACGAACAGCAATTTGGCAAAACAACCATTTTGTTTTTCTCAACGTACATACAACTTTTATCAAAATCATTTACATCAACTGTGCAAATGCATGGTACATACTGAATGGTGTTCGAAAACCTCCAAACAACAGGCATGCCGAACGTTCTGAACATAGTAAGCCTCCGCGAGTCTTTCTACAAGATTTCAATACTTTCCCGGCTGTTATAACCAAGGAAAGTGTTGTATTCGTTGGAAATTGGGTTCAGGTGTCTCAAAACATGGAGATTTGCAAAAAAAATCCGGAGTATACGATTGGAGTTAAAAATCCTGAGCGACTCATGAGTATACTTCGGCGAGGATTCCATGGCTCGGTAACATCGTATCTGATTGCATCTCTGAGTAAACTTTTTTCGAATCAACGCATTTTTACATACAGTATTTGTAAATTACATCGGTTTATTTCTGTTTATTTTATTATTTTTTCTTTAAAAATTCGCCGTTAAAAATAAATGAAATTTTTAAAAATTAGTGAATGTTAAAATGTCAAATTATTCACAGTATTCTAAATACAGTGTGGCCATAATTAAAGTACAGGTGTTTCCAACTCGACTGTACAAAAATCTGTTTGGCCAAACTCAATCAAAATTAGTGTACATCACTCCAATGATTCTTGATTGTGGGCAAATCAGGCGAACGGGTTGGCCACTTAGGGAATGCTCGACTAATTATTCGGTCTTCAGTGAAATGCTGTCGTAGGATTACTGCACATCAATTTTACGTAAGGAGTTAACAAATAACAAAGTTGAGCAGCATTTGTAAACATCTCATTGCAGTGATAGACGAGTCACTGGTTCAGTTGGTTTAGATTCTTCGAAAAAGTGTGGACCAATTACGAACGAGGCAGTAAACACATATCATAATGTGATATATCGTGGCTTCAAGAGAATTATAACACATTTCGAATGTATCTAATAAAATTACAAATGCAATTGCGAAGCTTAAAACTCAAGTTATTGTGACAATTTCAGGGATATTTTTATTCTTTCACAATATAAAGTATTTATTTAATACGTAGAGCCGTAAAGTTTTTCTCTTGCAAAAAGCATACATGACAAGTTACCATAATTTCTTATTCGAATTGTTTATTTAATTCTTTTTAAAATGATCATCATAAAGAAGAATTGAGGAAAATTTAAAATATAACATTCATTGAATATTAAATGTATTAAACACGGAAACTTGTGACAATTGTTGGATTACAGGGTGTGTCAGATGTTAATAAAATCACTATTGTTGTTAATAATAATGATGTACAGAAATTAATCCTAGAGATGTTATTACAGTCATGCTTTATAAATATTTGCATAAATTATAATCGATAGTTTACAAAGAACACAAATTCAGTATAGATGTTGATAATCCTCTCAAAAAGTATTATATTGACCGACAAGGGAATCCAACCATCGTTTTTAGTGTTATTATATATAAACTTCCTCTGTCTGTCTGTCAGCCCGCCTGTTCTTCGTTAATCTCGAGAACGGAGTTAGATAACGGCATGACTCGTGTTAACAGGAAAAGTGTGATGTATATGAGCAAGATACTACTAAAATTGAAAGCATTGTGACGATGTCACAATAAATAATTGCTCGTTATATAATATTCTGTGTTATTATAATAATAAATATTTGAAAGTAGAAATTATCATCATCATTGTTAAAACTTCTAAATTTTAAAATCTTCTTTAATCGAGTTCTCATATAAATTAATTATCGGATTAATTTATATGTTAATTTGTAATTATAAGTACTGTACATTTAGGATTAATTACCTTATAACATAAAAAGAGATTAGAATTGTTTAACACAATTTGAATTTGTGGAAAGTTTACTGTTTAAGATATTTGCAAGTAAAATATTGTTGTAACAATCGATTGGTTAGAAAAGTAAATATAAACATTCCTTTGGAGGAAAGTAATTCCTATAAACTAGGAAAGGAGAGAATGAAGGGGCGACGAGGAAAATACATGCGAAGAATTAGAATTTCAAAATTAATACAGATGAGTTAAGCTTTGTTTAGTTATTTTATCTTTATTAATTTCATCCCTTAATTTAGTAGAATTAGTAAATAAATTTAACTGGATTTCAGCAAGAGATTTACTAGTTAATAACCTCAACTATTCTTTAATCATGCTTAATGAAATAGAAAACCAATCTACGATTTTCGATCGAAGTCTGACAAATTTGCTTCTCTTCTCGAACGAAATTGCATTTGCTAATGCTAGGCAACACATACTACAGGGTTCCATTAAAGTACCGGTTATAATGGACATAATTGAAACCGGCTGTGTATTGAACTCTCACTCTTGAAAAGTCGAAATGTACCTTGTACTTATCAATATGAATGAAAAGTTGATAGAACGTTCTGTACTTTCAGGAAAATCTTGAAGTTTCGAATAGAATTCGAACCCGGATCCCTCCTTCTTGGAAGGGGAATATTGACAGAACCTTCACGTTTTTTTTTTTTTTTTTATCTTTTAAATAATACACTCTACTATTAGTTTAGTTTTAGATTCTAGATTTAAAAAAAAAAATGTATTTCTATTAATATGTATTGGGACCTCAAGTATCATTATTATGTTTTTTTTTTTTATCTTTTAAATAATATACACCTGAATACTTTGTAAAATTAGAGTTTTAATGATTGCAGAGCTGTAGCGTTAGTCTGCTGTCCATCTGTCCTTCCTTAATCTAGAAAATGCGGTTAAATAGACGGAATTCGAGACCAGATATGGAAAGCTTAGGTGTGGGAGGGCTCTATTAATTGTATAATAACTTCCGATCTGCAGCAGAAGCCATGTTATTTCAATCCAAAAATTTTCAGAATAAATATAACCCGGCATGACTCTATTGTTAACTGAAAAAGTATGATGTACAGGGTCACGACATAATAAAATTGAGAGCATTGTGACAATGTCAGAATAAATAGTAGCTCGTTAAGATCGAAATAACTTCATGTATCAGTGATTGATTATAATTTAAATAAATATGTAAGCGACAGTGCTATTATACAGTTTACTGGATTACTTTTCGATGGTTGAGCCGCTAGATTCAAAAAATTGAATTTTGTAAGCAGTAAATACAACCGTAAAATCAGTGAATACGTAGGAAACTATACAGAAGAAACATAACAAAAAATAAAAATATACTAAGACAAAGCCAAAAAAGTCACACCAACAAGGTCATAAAATATAATTTTCCTTACTAATAGTAACGATATTGTAAACAATATTACATATTGAATAACTTTTTAATTAACCAGATTTAATATTACAGTACTTATGTACAATTAATTATAAACAGTTATAGTCAATTCCTTAAATAGAGGACGGAGCTTGTAAAGACTTTNAAGAATATTATTGTCGAATAAGATTATTTATATGGTATAATATAGCATAACACTATTTTTCTGTCCTCGAATCGAATAATTTCAATTGAATATTGAAGAAGTAAGCAGAAGAGATCCTCTTAGGAAGGTTTCATTGATATGCTTTTATTGAAAAATATCAAATAAAATAGAAATGAAAGGAAAAGTTTTAATTTAAAAGAATAAATGAGTTATTGTACTTCAATAGGAAACGACGAGTGACACATAAATCAGATTAAAGAATTATTCAGAGTCAATACTTATTGAAAAATATAATCTAAGATCGAATTAGAAAAGTATCTCTATTTGTTTATTTTTAATTCATTATTAAATGAAATGTTCTCTTTTAATTCATCAATCATGCGGTCTTGGTCTAATATTTATTTTTAATTAAAATAATAATAAATGCAAATATATATATATATATTGCCTGAGACATTTTTTTTTTTCAAATTAAAAATTTCCTCATATCAATGTAAAACAATTCACTTTAATTGAATCATACATTTGACAATATTTTCAAATAATTCGATGAATGCATGGAAGAGTGTCTAAGGGGAAAATCATCTTCAAATAAAGTAAACTGCAGACACTATAAGTTGAGATGATAGGATATGTTACATAATTCAATCTGAAAAATATAAAAATAATTATTATTTAAATTATTGATTAGATTATTACATAACTTGAAAAATTTCTATGCTTATAAAGATTATAAGTTATAAAAGCCTAGGGCATTTGTGCTTTAAGGGCCCCAGTATTAGCACAGTATTTTTAGCTAATGGAAATTTAATAGACTCTTAATGTTAAATTTAAATAAATAAATATATATATATATATTTTAAAAACACAAGAACTTATTTGAATTTTAGATTGGTATATTCTTGATAGTAATTGGGGTTATGCCAATTTGGTATCGCTTGCAAGCAAGTAATG